TTTTAAAAAAAAAAAAAAAAAAAAAAAAAAAAAAAAAAAAAAAAAAAAAAAAAAAAAAAGAACATTCAGGAACAAAAAATGAGCCTTGAATACTAAACATATGACATAGGAATGAAAAACCTCAAAAGAAAGTTTGAAAGGTAAATCTGAAGAAATCTCCCTTTTAAAAAGAAAAAGTAGACAAAAAGATGGAAAATAGTAGAGAGAGGATTAGGAAATTAGAAGGGCCATCCAGAAGGTCCGACGTCCAAATCTCAGGAGTTCTAAGTGGTGCGAGAGTGTCGTGTCATAGCTGAATTGTCATCTTCTTTTTTCTTTTTCTTTCTTAGTGGTACATACGACGGTGTTGCATCCCGTAATTGACATTGTCTTAAATTTGATGAAATATGATAACTATGACACATTAGATGGCTCAGCTGTCAGTAGGGCTGACTTATGATAAGCTTTATATGATCATCTAGACAGTGTAACTTCACAGCATATGGAAGGAAAGATGTGAGGACACAGAGCATGTGGCGTGCGATGTGGGCATGTGGCGAGGGCTGGCATTCTGTGTGGAACCGAGCCTTGTTCTCATCTTCGGTGGTGGGAGGTCAGTAGATAATACTACAACAGAAGAACCCAGAAGCGACACCAGAAGCACGATATTAAGTGACGATGCGAGCCAGGTCTGGGGTCTAGGTCTCATCCTATTTACTGCACTCTCTCTCGATCACTGTTAAATACTCGGGGACTCTTTGAAATTCTTTGAAAGATGGAACAATACTTTCTAGTGAATGCTTATGGAAAGCGAAGGTTCTGAAGGGGTCTCACGAGCCCCTGAAAGCCAGATCTTGTTGGGCAGTCCTCTTCTAATGGTGGGAATGCTGTGGACATACGAGGGTGGCGAAGGTTCTGAAGGGGTCTCACGAGCCCCTGAAAGCCAGATCTTGTTGGGCAGTCCTCTTTTAATGGTGGGAATGCTGTGGACATACGAGGGTGCTTCAAAAAAAGTCCATGGAAAGATTTGTATTATCTCTCGATTCTGTTTTTTTTTTTTTATAGCAATACAGCTGTAAAATTGTAAAATATAATTTTTTTAAGTTTTAAGAATTAAAAAAATTTTAATTTAATTAAATTTTAATTTATTTTGTTCATTGTACATATTTATGGGGCACAGTTTGTTGTATCAATACATGCATATACAATTCTGTTTTTCCATGAACTTTTTAAAGTTCCCTTGTACACTGTGCAAATCTTGTTCCAGTCTGATTTCAGTAATAAGGAACAATGGCTTTGCGGGTGAGGACTGCATCTTTACGCAGAGAGGGGTTTGCATGTAGTAATGTGAACATGGTGCTGGGTGGGTTGGTTAATTGCAGTTTAACAGCTGTTGAAGACGAATTGCCTTTTCTGACCTCCAGGCTACTCCTGAGGACACAGCTGTTGGGGTGAATGCAGTCTCAAGCAGAGTTTCTGATACCAAGAAAGGGACGGGCTTGACTGCCAGGACCTGACATATGGTTACACCCTCTGAGACCTGTCTACATGTGAAAAATACTGTGATTCCCATTTGGTTTAAAACAGTGTACACACTCAGTAGCTGTGATAGTTTAATGTAGTGATAGCAACGTCAGTTATAAAACTCCTACCTTTGCAATGTAAAAGTATAAAAATGATGCTCTGCTGAAATACTAAAGAATGTTTATAAGGTTCAAAATTTCATCCGGGGAATACATTCTCAGGGGTTTTCAAATAAAAAGAACATTTCATTGGAAAAAGCGTCCATATAACTATTTGCATTATATTTTAAATAGGATGACCAATATTACCTACAATACTTTAACTATGATTTACATAGCTTTGAAACATTCTAACAGTGATAGTTCAAACTTCATGTCTTTGAAAAATGCTTTGTGACTACATTTTCTTCAATAGTCTGACTCTTTAAAACTCTAGATCTGGTAGCAGGTTAGATTTATGAGTCACTTACTGCAAAAAAATGGATTTTTTTGCAAAAAATATAGATGCATCTCACCCTTTTGCGTTTTGGATTATATTTTTAAAAAGTGGAGGGAAGGAGGTGGGGGAAATAGAGGAGAAACAATGCCTGTCCACAAGTACAGCGCCTAATACTAACCCAGTGTTTTACGAGCAAAACATTAGATTAGTAACTGTAGGCCAATAAAAGAGGTGGAAGACAGTTCTAAATGCTAGTGTGTGTTTTGTTTTAATGAAAGGTTACTCTGCTTTTAAAGATGGGTGCATAATTTATTTTCAAATCTAGTTGCAGCATATTTTTTTTGTCTACGTTAAACCTACAATTCTTATCAACTTGGCACTTTTCCAGATCAACATATATTACTCCCAGAAAGTAAATACAAGTAATGATTGATTTTCAGTTTATTACTGTTATTTTGATACTGCATTTAACTATTTCTATGTGTCTCTATTTACTTTTCTTGTTCCACAGGTTTGCCAACAGCAAATCTGGCCGCACCTAACCTCACGGTGGAGGAAGGAAAGTCTATCACGCTATCCTGTAGTGTGGCAGGCGACCCAGTTCCCAATATGTACTGGGATGTTGGTAATCTGGTTTCCAAACATATGGTAAGGCTTATGTCTGGCTCTGTCTTAATAGAGATACAATGGGAGGATTCCAGAATTTGAGAGCATATTAAACCTAGTGACGATCATTTCATATTTTATAGAGCCACATTAGAAATTTACAAGTTCTTGATGTACATTTACTTTCTATTTACTCTTAACTGAAAAAGACTAATGCAGGTTTGCATTTTAGTTATGTACACCCAGTAGATTGGAGTCTTTGTGTCCCTACTGAGTGCTTTGTGTCATCGTGAACAAAGCGAGTGACTCTCCCTGTGGTCTTTTCCCGTGGAGGAAGGTAGGTAGGTAGGAACTCGAGGACTTAGTTAATCTCCCCCATGAAGCAATTGAAACCTAGAGAAATAGAATAACTTCTGATTTATTCCTTTGCCTGAACCCAATTCAGGCAGGGAAGCTTTCTATTGTTATATGTATTTTTCTCTAGGTAGGGGAAGAAGACCCAAATCTAGTCATTTTAGGACCAATCCTAATAAAGATTATTTTTGTCTGTTAATTCATTTGTAGAATGAAACAAGCTACACACAGGGCTTCTTAAGGATAACTAACATTTCATCTGATGACAGTGGAAAGCAAATCTCTTGTGTGGCAGAAAATCTTGTAGGAGAAGATCAAGATTCTGTCAACCTCACTGTGCATTGTACGTAATCAGATCGGCATGTGTTTTTAATAACAAATGATCGTGGACACACAACATTTGTCGCCAGGGCACTCTGGGTGCTGCTTAAGTTTGTTAAAAAAGTATATGTGGTGTTCCTTGCATACTTAATTAAGAAATGTTATCAGCCTTTTCCACTTTTTCTGTTTCTGCTTAATATCCCTTCTCGTGCATTGTCTTTCCTTTAAGCTGCTTTTTTGCTCTTGAGCTTGTCCTTTTTTGCCTTCTCCTGTCTTTTTCTGGTAGAACATATTTTGAGCTGGTTGTTCCCTCTTGTTAATGTTTTAGCTTAAATTCTCATAAACCAGTTTCCAAAATTTTTCCTCTGTAAAAGCAATGTGATGATTTAAAGTTATGTTACCTGAAGTCTTTTCCAGCTGTTCACAAACACTTAATTGCACTGTTGATACAATAAAACCTCATTAGTTTGACCTCAAGTTTTTGTGAGAAGGTAGGAGTCCTACTTAAATTATTGAAAATTATCATCACCTGCAGAAAGCTTTTATTATTGTTGTTGTTGTTTTAAGTTCTGTACACTTTGAAAGTAAGATAAAAGATATCCATGCTTCTTAGTTAAGCGTAAGTGCATTGTTTTCCAGTATTACAAATAATAGAACTTAAATTTTAAAATTCCACATTGTGGCCTTCAGTGGGAATGTACACTCAGTAAAAATCATTTGGACACTTCACATCATTGCAAATTCTGAGCTGGCCTGGTATAAATTAATGAGGTTTTGTTCTGTTTGGATGAGGATTTGGATGAGAAAAACATGAGCATGCACGTGTGTAAGTGTGTGTACGAATTACACACGTGTAGACACATGGCCAGAGCTGGTGTAGATATATGGTTAGCACTCATTACAGTACCCATTCAGTGTGCGATTGTTAGAATGAATAGTTGAAATCACCAACAGTGATCCTTTGTCACTCTCAGTACTGTCACTATGCCCTGTGGGTGCTGGACTCACAATTTCTCATCATTTTGACCCAGCCAGGAGCCTGAAGTCAATGTGATCCCCAAACATATGCAACCACTTCCAACTTTATGTCCCTCATTCAGCACCGCATCAACAGCTCATATGGGCTTGGTGGAAGGAATAAGTGGGCCTGGGCATGGGGATCTGGGCTGGTGGGAGGAAGGTAAGTGTGGCCCCTGCCCCACTGCGTCCTTGTCATGTCTGGACTGTAGTGCATATCTCCAAGTATGTGGATCTACACAGGCACACACCTTATTTTGCCCAAACAGATATAGAATCCCCCAAATCATGTTTAAATTGAATTTTAAAAGATGGGATCATATATTAAAAGCCTTTTATTTTCCAAAGACTGTTTTAAGGAGGAGTCTGAGAAATATTTGGTAAAGCAAACAGTTAAACCTTGCAAATTTAAATTAGTAACATTGCATTTCTTAAAGTGAGAGACCCTGTTATGATACACGTTTGCAGAGTTCAGCAACTTCATGTGCTCAGTTGTGAGTAACTTCACTGGTGTCACTGGTAACTGGAAATCTTTCTGTAGATTACGGTAGTGAATTAGGATCTTTTATGAGCTTTATTTCTTCTTGGGTAATATTCCAGGAGGATTTACCCGAGTGCAGAGAAGAGTATCTACTTTCTATTAAGGACACTTGAACTTGAGGTTTTCCTTAGTTTTGGTTAGTATCTCTGTGGTCACCACGATCTGAAGTACTGACTTTATCAAAGTTTAGATAAAGAGTAGGAGGAATAAATGACAATATTGAAAACTGAGATATTCATTGCAGGGACCGCATGCAGAGTGTTTGTATGTTCGCAGGCTGTGATGCCTTAAACATTTTCCCCCTTTGTGTGATTAACGTGTCCAGTCAAGAAGCCAGGGTATGAGAGGAAAGAGCTACTGGATCAGGAGGCCTGGATTCTTGTTCCAGATCTTACTTGCTCGCTAACTTTGACCAACTCACTTAACCTCATTGGACGTTGGTTTCTTCATATAAAAAAATGATGATATTAGATCTCAAGAGTCTTTTCCAGTCCTTGATTTTATAATTATCAAAGTCAGTATACATTAAAATAAACAGTGATGAGGGATTTTAAATACCTTCAATCAGGATAGTACTTTATGCTTAAAGTTGAAATAATGTCTAGTCTGTTCTTAGATTGGATGGACCACAGACATTGAAAGGATCAAAACATTGGCAATTAGAATCCTAGCAAAATTGTACCATATGATAATGAAGTGTGACACTTTAAAGAGTATTTGCTATTGACAATCAGTGAAAAATATCAATTTATCATACTTTTCAATAATCAGCGTCAGTAGCAACATACATTTCATACATTTTATTGGTCAGTTTCATCTATTTTAGAAAAGTTATGTGAGATCAGGATGTCAGGAAAAATTTCTAAAGTCACTTTTGCTGTTATTTGTATTATTTAGGAAAAAAGTACTATGAAAATAGTTTCTCTCTCTCTCTTTTTTTTGGTGATGAATCTGCATAATAAGGTACATATATTTGAAACCAAAGCCGACTTCAGATGAACCCTTTCCATTGAAAAATTCTTGGTTTTTGGATCTGTTTGGAGCTAGTTCTCACTAACACTGGATAGATTTGAAAAATGACTGATGCCTGGGTCGTAAGTCGAGCAGAGAAAGGAGTCTCTCTGAAGCTCTCTGTAGGGAGTTAGATCCACCTTGATGATGATACAGAATATTGATGGATTCCAGAGTTGCTGGCCATGTGTTTTCTTAATCAACAATTGTTGAATAAAATCCCTTACCAATGACACAGAAATCTGGAGATGGGGAGCATTCTGAGCTTTCTGATGCTATTAACTCTCTCTTTTTCGATTTAGTTGCACCAAGTATCACATTTCTCGAATCTCCAACCTCAGACCACCATTGGTGCATTCCATTCACTGTGAGAGGCAACCCCAAGCCAGCGCTTCATTGGTTCTATAATGGGGCAATATTGAATGAGTCCAAATACATCTGCACTAAAATACACGTTACCAATCACACGGAGTACCACGGCTGCCTGCAGCTGGATAATCCCACTCACATGAACAACGGGGACTACACTCTAATAGCCAAGAACGAGTATGGCAAGGATGAGAGACAGATCTCTGCTCACTTCATGGGCTGGCCTGGAATTGATGATGGTGAGTACCTGATGAGCCACCCCAAACCAGTGGCTTAACACACTGTCATTTGGTCTTGCTCATGGGTTTGTAGGTGGGCTGGAGTAGTTCTGTTCTGCACGTATCTATTCCGGGGTGCTGGGGGAAGAAGCAGCAGCTACTAAGGTGATGTGATTTTTATGGCAAGTGCAGAGTATAAGAGGACAACTGGAAATATATAAGGATTCTCAAGGCCTGGGATCAGGGCTGGCACACTGTCCCACTGTCCCACACTGTGCCATTGGCCAAAGCAAGTCACAGGGCCAGGGCCAGAGCCAAGTCAAGGGGCAGGGACTTTTACTGCTCCCAGGAAGGTGATGGGGGAAATGAATAATTTGGAACACCAATCTGAGATACGCAGGATTATTAACTGGTGCGCTTGAGTAGGTCTTGAGAAAAGGGTTATTATTATTATTGTTGTCGTAAGTGTTTAATGAGATTTTGTACCCGCAATGGCAAAACTCATGCAAAACCACAAGCAGATGAGCTGTGTCTGGCTGGCTCACAGGATTATTAACTGGTGCGCTTGAGTAGGTCTTGAGAAAAGGGTTATTATTATTATTGTTGTTGTAAGTGTTTAATGAGATTTTGTACCCGCAATGGCAAAACTCATGCAAAACCACAAGCAGATGAGCTGTGTCTGGCTGGCTCATGAGATATTTAAGATTGATTTTCTTGCACCGTATCCATTTGGAATGCAATCCTGCATCCTCGTCTACGGACGAGACACTAGTATACTGGAGTGTTTTGCTTACCGGCACGACCGAGTTGAATCATCCTTTTATCAGATCCAGTGTTGTTTTTCTAGGAGTGATAGTCGTATCTGTCCGACCAGTGGTTTGGGTTGGGGCAAGGACGGCGAGCATCAGGGGTCCACTCTGGCCACCAGGAGAGTTTCAGTGTGAGCTCCAGTAACTGCAGGACAAGAGTGATAGTCGTATCTGTCCGACCAGTGGTTTGGGTTGGGGCAAGGACGGCGAGCATCAGGTGTCCACTCTGGCCACCAGGAGAGTTTCAGTGTGAGCTCCAGTAACTGCAGGACAATTGTCACACGTTCGCCCGTTCAGATGCTGCCCCTCAGTGGAGTGCTCTCACCTGCCCAATCCTGCTGCCTAAATGCTTGCTGCCATTGTGGCAGCTGAGGCCCGTGTGTGGATGGATGTTGGGGCCTGTATGTGAGCAGAATTCCTCACTGTAATAGCTCCGAGTTAGTCAAAGTCACACAAAGATGACTTGGCAGAGGGAAGGGCAGGTAGAAACACGGAGGCCTGTGAGGCGGGTACATTCTGCTTGGGCAGTGGCTCACAGGGCAACACCATGGACAAATGTGACCCTTGCAAAGCCACCTTTGCCAAGCAGTAAGTGAGAACACAGTTCTCTCATTACGTAATAAGTGCCCTTCACCAGTACAGCAGGCCTCCCTCATCCATCAGGTGCTTTCCAAGACCCCAGTGGGTGCCTGAAACCACAGCAGAACTGAACCCTTTGTGCACTATGTTTTCTCCTATATATACACTCACCTATGATAAAGTTCAGTTGACAAACTGGGCACAGTAAGAGATCAACTATAATGACTGATAGTAAAGCAGAACAGCATAAGATATACTGTAATAAAAGTTAGGTAAATAACTTTTTGGTCTCTTTTTCTTTCTCCCTCTCAAAATATCTTAGACTGTACTCACCTGTTTTCAGACTGTAGTTGACAGTGGAAACCAAGGATAAGGGGGAACTACTGTATTTACTGACGTCTTTTTCTATACACAAGCTTCCTTAGCGTGTTCAAACGGTGGCTTGGATTACGTAAGTTTGATTTACAAACAGCCCTTCAGGAGCACATAAAACAAGCCATGTTTGGAGGCAGTGCCCAGACACCCCTGTCCCTTGTTGTCTTTCCCATTAAATCTTCCTCTTAATTGAGAGTTTAGCAGCTTGGCTGCGTGTGCTGTGGTAAATCCCTAGATTGCTGTGTTTATTCTTGCATGTCTGACGGTGTAACAGCTTCGTAGTTAAATACGGAGACTCCGATTTGGGACAATAACTTTTTGTTTGTTCTTACATAAACTTCTTATTTGTGAATAATTTTAGATTTACAGAAAAGCTGTAAAGATAGTACAGCGTCCCCCGTTTTTCCCATTGTTTCCATCTTACATTACGGCTGTGTGTTTGCTACAACTAAGAAACTAACACTGGGGCCTTGCTATTAACTAGACCTCAGGCTTGATTTGAATTTCACCAACAACGGCCTTTTGAAACTGTAGGGGTGAAACTTGATTCAGGGTGAAGCTCTGAAGTTTAAAAGCTATCAGAAGTGCTGTGTGTCCTTTGATATCTGCACAGTGTGTCAACGTCGAGGCAGTCGCTTCTATTTTAGATAGAATTTTGATGTATTTTCTTTTGAACGTTTCTATATGGTGCTAAGATTTGGTAAAGCTGAACCGCTCTTATCCGTGTGGCTCATTTTTATCAGTCACTTCTGTTAGTTTTAGCTAGTGACAGGGAAGAATCGTTTTCCGGATTAAGAAAAACTCTGAGTCTCTCAAATATTCCCTTTAAAAGAAATAATTATTTATTTATAAAAAATAAGCATTAAGCTAAATGTTGTAAAGATAGTCTCTCCCCTCCTCTCTTTCTCTCTTCCTGCTCATTTATCCATTTTTATTAGATCTTTATATATCTGCTTTTAGAAAAGACTGATTTTTCCCCCGTTTAAGTATTTACTCAAGGACCAGCTATCAAAGAGTTATAAATAAAAGTGGAAATGAAGGAGACTTGGCCCAGGGTGATAGTGTATATAAATGGCCCTAGTGGGCCATAAACCAGTGTGGCCAATTACAGACTGGCTTCCCTTGGCTTGTGGGATAGAATCTCCGTGGGTATTTATGAGATCCATAGACCTCCCGTAGAATTGCTTCTTTGCTTCTTTTCCCTTCTTATTCCTCTTTAGAAAGAAAGAAAAATAAAGGAATTGCTAGAAAGAAAAAAAAAAGTCATTTCTGTGATGTCCTAAAGGTACATTCCAACTTACGGACAACAGGCTAAGTTTGGTTTTCTATTCCTTCCAGTGTCATCAGAGAGTAATTAATGAAAAAGTTTAGTGCTCACAAAGCTTTTTGACAAGAAGTCTTAGCTACTTTTTCCCCAGTTCTTTCGGTGAGATCTCCTCCTATTTTTTTTACATTGCGAGTTTCCTGTCTTGCAAAAAAGCAGCAGCCTGGGATCCCAGGAGGCCGGTTGCATTTCCATGCAGAGCTGGAAGACTCGACGCGGCAGCTCTGGTGTCCTTGGAGTGTATTCCCCACTCAGCTTAGACCTGAGATTCCAGTGGGATGGCCACTTTACTTAGGAATTCATTTTTGAAGACAGAGAGTGAAGAGTGTTGAAAGAAATTAAAACCTAAGTAAAAGCAAATAAGCAAAAAGTCCCTGAAAAAATTGGTGAGCCTGGAAGGTGACTGGTTGGGCATCAGGACGGTTCCTGTTGCCTCCACTGCAGCGCCGTGTGGAAGCCCTGGACGGAGCAGCAGACGCTGTGCTCTCTGCTTGGAGGAAGGATGGGGCAGACGGACCTAGTGCCAGCATCAGCCAGGCCAAGGGGCTGCCGAGCGCAGGGTGAGGATATGGGGCAGGCGATGAAGAGAGAGGCCAGAAAACCAAGGTCCCCATAGAATGTCTTTCGAGAGTGCTGGGACCATGCAGACTCTGACGTGGAGCCAGCCAGGGTGCTAATGGGGAAGGACAGGTGTCATCAGATCTTGAGATGTCAGCAGGACCCCAGACCTCATGCCGGTGCTTCCCCATCTGCTAATCACTGGAAACCGGCCAGTAACTGAGAAAGGGAGAAAAGACCTTCCCAGACTCCAGACACTGTGTTTAAAGCACAAAGTGCAACGTTAGCTTCAAAATGAAACCTAGAGAACTGTATGTAGTGTTTATCTTTCTAGCACACTGAAAAGCACAACTAGTGACAAACTAGTTTTATTATTGTTTTTCATTGTTGAAAATCGATTCACTAGGAGGAGTCTTTCCTGGCTCCCAGAACAGTATCTTCCCACCCCTTGTTGCACCGCTGGAATCACCTGGAGACCTTTCATAATTATTTTATTTTATTTCATTTTCCTAGGCTTACCTTTACCAGTTCTGGTTCAGTGGCTCCTGGGTGAGATTTGGGTTTTGGCATTTTTCTTTTAAGATCCCCAGGGATTCCAATGAGCAACCACGGGTGAGCCTCGCTGCTCTGGAGGACGCTGAGCACTAAGATTTCTCCGCTCGTAATTGAGTAACAAGTTTGCTACTTTGGTCATTTTAGGCTGCAGACAGAATCTTAGTCGAGAAATTGCGTGTCCGGTCTGAGTTAGAAATCAGAACTCTGGACNCTTTTAAGATCCCCAGGGATTCCAATGAGCAACCACGGGTGAGCCTCGCTGCTCTGGAGGATGCTGAGCTCTAAGATTTCTCCGCTCGTAATTGAGTAACAAGTTTGCTACTTTGGTCATTTTAGGCTGCAGACAGAATCTTAGTCGAGAAATTGCGTGTCCGGTCTGAGTTAGAAATCAGAACTCTGGACTTGACCTTGTGGCCAATCTCCTCTCCTCTCCAAGTTTAGGCTGGTAGTATTGGGGGGAGGTGTAGGGGGTCTGGAGTTTGTTGAGGTTTCAGCCCCTCTGCTGCTCAGGTGGAAGGGGTGGGTGGGGGGCATGGCAGGGAAGTTTGCTTGCTGACAGCTTTGCACTCTTGGGACCTGGGAATGTTCAGGACTGATACTCAGAATCTCTGTCCTGGACACCTTTGTGGGTTCTTGGAGAGTCCTCTCTCTGCAGTTCCTGTGACACGAGTGAATGAATTTCCATTCCAGCTGGTGAAAGCAACTCCTTCCTCCAGGAAGGAGCTCTGTGTTGTGAGGCTCCCGCTGCCCCTCCAGGTGGCCCTGTTGGCAGGATCTAAGACTCCCCACACAGACTTTCTCCAGTGCCACCTCCATCCGTT